TGCTGGCTGTGTGACCTCAGGTAAATTATATAAGCTTTCTGTGCCTCTGCCTCCCATCTGTCAAATAGCGGTAACCGTAGTATTCACCTCACGGGGTTGGTGTTGTGAAAGCCGAATGAATGAGTGTGTGCACAGAGTGTGTGCAGCGGTGCCCAGCAAGGAGTAGGTGCTCTGTAGCAATTACTGTTCCCTTCTCACCCCGCTCAGAGCTGGGTGAAGACAAGCTCATAAATGACTGGTTCACATTTGCCTCTTGCTCAGCCTCAGTGATGCAGAGGCAGTCACTTGGTGCCACCCGCCTCCTGCCCCCTGAGGCTCGCCTACAACACTCAGCCCACAAATCTCTAAACCACTGCCATCTCCTGCCCTTGGCTGACCCCGCCCCACACTAGGCTGCTCAGAGTAGAGAAGAAGTAATATCATAGCATAGGGGTTGCTTCAGTCCCACGCTACCCTCCAGGCATATATCTGAGCCGCCAGTTCCCTCTGAGCAGACTGGGAATGGAGAATTGGGACGGGTGAACATCTGCGGTGGAGCCCAGGCGCCCACCCGATGCAACTGGGGAACAAAGAACCTATCAGGAGGTCAGGAGGGAGGCCAAGGGGATTCCAGCTCCAAGGGATCCATTCGTGGCATTCCAGAGTGGGCGGCAGCTGGCACGAATCCTTGGTTCAGAAATGGCAGGGCCCCCTCAGGAGTCAGGGCCAGGTCATGCCAAAGTCCCAGTGACATCGTGGCTCTGCTATTCTTGAACAGCTGTGCTGCCCCCCTTGGCATAGGGTTCGAGAATGGAATGGAGGCAGGAGTGTGGGCTTGGCCAGGGCAAGAGGAGTGTTCAGACACACACACACACACACACACACACACACACACACACACCCAGTCCACCATGAGGGTGCAGATGCCTGGTTCAGGGAGAAAAGAGGAAGAGGGTGGAATGTGAATGTGTGTGTGTGTGAGCGTCTGTGTCGGGGGGAGATGGGTTTGTGGTTCTGTGAGTGTGTCTGGTGTTTGGGTGTGCATGTCTCTGTGTTTATCTTTGTGTGTGCACTTCTGTTTCGGTGTGTCTCTGTAGGAGTTTGTTGTCTGGGCGAGGGTAGATTTTTGCGCTACTTCTGTCTCTGACTCTTTGCTTGAGCCTCTCAGCAACTCAGCAGAGAGAATTTTCCCTTCTGCGAAGGTGGGAAAATATAGCTCATCAGGGCAGTATGGGCCAACACTTTATAAACACACACAAATCACAGGACATTCTTGCGTGTGATCCTTAGCTCCCTATAAAGCTAGGGTTGATACACATTTAAAAGAGAGAGAGCTGAGTCCTATGTGTATGCTTCTGTCATTTCTACATGTCTGACTGATGAGCATGTGTGCTTACGTATTTGACATATTTGTCACTGTGTCTCCATGGCAGTATCTGTGTCTACAGCTTGGTGTATACTCGTGTGCTAGGCTCATATTTAACTGTGTTTCTGGCGACGTTTATCTTTAAGCAGCAACATAACAGGAGTTAGAAGCACAGGTTCCACAGTGAGACGATCCAAGGTTCGAATCCCTGTGTCACTGTAACTAATCCACTAACCTTGGACAAGTTTCTTAACTTTTCTATGCCTCAGTTTTTTCACAGGGATAAAAATAGCCCATGAGGATACAAGAGATCATGTTTAGTGCCTGGCACAAGTTAGCATATGTTAACAGTCCTGTCTTTGAACGTGCTTCTTTCTGAGAGCTGTCTCCTTGGTTGGGACTGCAGTGTGTCACATCTCAGCCGGAGTATACACTGCTTCTGGGCAGAGCGTGGGTCTCAATTATCTTTAACAATACCCATGACCCCTCAGTGCCACCTCGGTGCCTTGTGCACTTGTCATTTCAAGGTGAAATGAGGCCTGTTTCAGGTGAAACAGGATGGATGTCAGATGCAGGCCCATGCCTGGGGTAGTACATGGAGGGCAGGTGGGAAGCTGGGGATGGCAGTGTCATCACAGCCCAGCTGGGCATCAGGGTCCCTCACGGTCATTCCTGCACACCTGACCAGGTCTCCCTGCAAGCCCAGCCTCCCTCCTCCTTCGTGTCTCAGTCTGGCCTTGAAACTCACTGAAGGGCCTCCTTCCTCCTTTTTCTTCTCACCCCACCCTAGGGCACTAGCCTAGGTGCTGGGAGGCCTGTGTGTATGTGTTTTGTTTTGGAGATGAGTCTCACTCTGTCGCCCAGACTGGAGTGCAGTGGCGCAATCTTGGCTCACTGCAACCTCTGTCTCCTGGGTTCAAGCGATTCTCCTGCCTCAGCCTCCTGAATTGCGGGGTGCCTGCCACTATGCACAGCTAATTTTTGTATTTTTAGTAGAGACGGGCTTTCACCATATTGGCCAGGCTGATCTCAAACTCCTGACCTTGTGATCCGTCCACCTCAGCCTCCCAGAGTGCTGGGATTAAAGGCTTGAGCTACTGCGCCTGGCCCTGCATGTGTTTTCAGTGGGTGGGATGAGTGCTCTCCAGTCTACACCATGCCTCACTGTTTTGCAGCTTGTGTGTGTTTGTGCATGGCTCTGTGGGGGTGTGTGTCTGGGAGATGTCTTTCTGTGTGATCCACGCTCTGTTACAGTGGGGACATGTGTCTGTGTGTGTGATGTGCCTCGTGCCTGGGGTTTGTTCCCCTCCCCCAGCTTTCCCAGTTACATAAGCAGCTGAGGGGTCCGGCAGGCCTGGGCTATGGGCTCCTCCTACTGGCCGCCTCTGGCACCTGCAGTCTGGGGAGGGGACTGCTGATGACGCTGCTTTCATGTTGGGCCTTATCCCCTCTGGAGGGAGACACCAACCGGGTACTCAATGCAGACCTGCCTCCAGCTACTTCCCAGCCCCAGGTCACGGGGTAAGAGAGGATACCTCAGCTCCATGAAGAGCCCTCTCATAATGCTCATACTGTGGGCTGGTTATGAGTTCTTTATGAAATGTCTCCTCAACATATAGGACCATGTTCCCTGAGGTCAGGGGACCAGGCCTGCCTTGTTTACCATGGCATCTCCAGTGCCCAGTACAAGGCCTGGCCCAATCAATATTTGTGAATGACTAAGTTTACAGGGTGGAGAGGCTTAGGAGAGGGGACAGTATGGTGTAGGAATATTTGGGGCTTTGGGGACAGACAAGCCTGGGCTCAAGTCACCCCATGGCCATTAAAAGCCGTGTGGCCTTGGGCACGATACTTAACCTGTCTACACTCAGGTTTCTCTTCTGTTAAATGACACCACCTTGCAAAATATGCTATAAGGACTGAACTAATATCCAAAAGGGCCTTCTTGTGTAAGCATTTCATAAATGACATCTATCATTATTACAACTGGTAACATCTTTCATCCCTCAAGCATCAGGAAGGCACTAAATCTGCTCAGTAATTAAATCCATTTTAAAGGGAGAGACGTGTTCTTCCAAAAGCTTCCCTGTGAGTTTCAGTTTTCACATAGCTCCATATGCCTGTGGATGGATCTAGACGATGTGGCTCTGGAGCAACCAGGCTGTGGATATTTCAAAGTGGGAATAAATAGGCGCCCTGCTGCCCTGTTCATGGGCTGGCAGTCCTGGGAGGCGAGGGCTGGACCTCTGATCTCCCTTCGAGGCCTCACACATTTGGCCTCAGAATTTCTCTGGCTTCTCCAGGGTTCCTCAGTGTGGCTTCTATCAGCAACCCCATGAGCAGGACCTCAGAGTGAAGCACTGTGACACACTTAGGAATGCAAAGTCAAGGGAGGTCTGGTCTGGCCTGTGCCACTTTCCCTCTCTGGGCTTCAGTTTCCTCTTCTGTAAAGGGGGGTGAGTGAGTGGCAGGGAAGGGGGATGAGAGGGGACAAGGAGAGGGTTGGAGGGTTGAGGGTGCTAAATGGGCTCTGGGGTCACCTCCCACTGACAGCCACTTTGACAGCCTTGGCTTTGCAAACCTGGCTGTCTCTTCTTCCTATTCTGGACTCGTCCTTCCTGCCCCTCCCCACTCCCCACCTTGATAGTTCAGGAGAGACAGAGCACCTGGAAAGGGTGCCTCCTCCATTCTCCCACCTCCAGGGGAAGCCCCACCCCTCCCAGAAGAGAGCACTGTTCATCTCTTCTCACTGTCACTGAACATAGAGACTCCTTCACCTAAACACCAGGTCTAAACTAGATCTAAGCTAAGCCTCTTAGGAAACAGTTCAAATAATAATTCAAAACTTAAAATAATCTTTATTTATTTCCTATTTCATATTAGTTTCCTGTGCCAAACACTTTATGTACATTCCTCAATTAATCATCACCATAACCCTTTGGGTGATGTGATCAACCTCAATTCAATTTGCAGAGGAGAGGAAAAAACTGAGGTTGAAGGAGGTTAGGCAATGGGCCAGGATCACCCAATCAAGAAATTACGTCGCCTGGACGGCCTCCTCTCCTAATCCATTTTTCTTTCGGTTTTGCCCTCTGAGGGGGTGAAAAAAAGGTCTCCAGTGACGTTCTGGATTCTGGAAGCGCCCTTCAGCTCAAACCCTTCGCGTTCGGGAACTCCTGGGTTCTGCCCACCCCTGCAGGGTTTGCAGCCAGGACTGTGGCGAAGAGCAAATAACTGAATTCTAAATGCGTGGCCACAGTCACCGCGCCAATCCCAGGGCACCTGCACCCAATTCTCCAGGAAAGGCTGGCAGGTGCGGGGTCGGGTGCGCTCTGTGCGAGGGTGGGTGGGAATTTCAATGAGCCGAGTGCAGTTAGCTCTCCCCTGCGAGGGCCTGGGGCGGAGCCAGGGCAGGGGGCGGGGCAAGACCGGGGTCCTGGGCGGAGCCAGGATTGGAGGCTGACGTTAGCCCTGGTGGCAGGGGGAGGGGGCGGGGCTTGGGACTGGAGCGGGGCCGGGGCGGAGCCAGGATTGGAGTCCGACTGTAGTCCTGGTGGGGCGGGGCGGGAGAGGGGCCGGAACTGGGGGCTGGGCCGGGGCTCGGGGCGGAGCCAGGGCTGGAGTCTTGCGGGGCGGGCCGGGGCGGGGCCGGGGCGGGGCTGGGACTGGGTGAGAGGCAAAGGTGAGTGTACAGAGGAGGGGCGGGGCCGGGGCCAGGTGCGGAGCAAAGGCCGGAGTCTGGCGGGGTGGGGCAGGCAGGGCCAGGGCTGGGTCTGGGGCGGGGCGGGCCTGCACGGGGCGGGGGAAGGGGCGGGGCCGGGGCGGGCCGGCGAAGGGGGGCCGGGGCGAGGATGGTCTCAGAACTGCCAACGGCTGGAGGGAAAACAACGGGAGGGGCGGAGGGAGGGGAGTCGGCAGCTCCCGCTCAGCTAGCTCGGCGCACCCACGCCTCGCTGCCCCGCTTCCTGCCCCCAACCTGGGCATGCGCCCCCGGCCCCCCCGGTCCCCCAGAACCCGCGCCATCCCCCGGAGCCTCCCCAGAGCTGGCCGCGCAGGATGGGCGCCCTCAGGGCCACGCTGCTGCCGCCGTCGCCGCCGCTGCTGCTGCTAATGCTAGGTAAGCCAGGCCCGGGTTCCGGTTCCCGGCCCCGCCGGGCAGGTGCCTGCCGCCCAGCACCCAGACCAACCCGCCTCCCGAGCTTTTCGGGGCTTCTCACATCCTCCTTCTCCGTCATGGGTGCCTCCAGCCTCCCCGGGACCGGCGGGCAGCTGCGCTTTGTGGCTGCCCGCCGAGCCAGTCTTGGGGAGAGTGCAGGCTCCCCAGCTCTAAGCCAGGGACTGGGGCACAGGGAGGACCCACTAAGGTGCTCCCCCAGGCACTGCGTAGCCTCCCGGGGCAGGTCCCACTTCGCAGCAATTATACCCACGTCCTGGGGTCAGTGCACCAAATGCTGCGACTCCTTTCTGCCCCACACTCAGCTCCAGGCCTGGCCTTGGGTGCGCGCCCTGCGTGGGCAGTGCCTGCCCAGCTTCGTAATTGCCCCAGAGTTGGCTGGAGGCCCAGAGGCCAGTTCTGCCCACGGTCTTTGAAGTAAGTCTCCCCCAATTGCGCTCCACACACTTCATCAACTGAGGCTGGGGACGGTTCCCTCTCTCGCCCCCATCGCCACCCTGGGCTGGGTCCCTCTTTGCTCTTCTTGCTCTCTCCCAAATGGCACTTGGCTCTGTAGCCACCCATCAGTTTTCACAACCGCTTAGTTCCAGCTTCCTTGGCTCAGGAGAAACCAGGTTCCATGGAGACTGATCCTGGGATCTCCAAGCACCTTGTGTCTGCTGTGGTGGGTGTTCATGGTGGGCTGTTCTGGGCCAACCTTGCATGGATGCATGGGGGTAATTACAGTGGAATTGTTTTTGGCCTGAACTGGAGGGCTCCCTGTAGGCGGTGGTCTGGGGGTCAGTGAAACTGCCGGTACAGATGTTGATGAGACTGAAGCTCTTGAAATGAGAGTGAAGTGTGGGGGTGGGGATGGTGACTTAAGAGCTGCTGTCGTCAAGGCAGAGGCTGAAGGTAGCCCCAGCTGCCTGTCTCTAGACCAGAGCTCCACAGTGGCACCAAGCAAAGCCTTCCCCTGCTGCAGGTCCCTGGGCCCTGCAGGGCTACCATGAGTCCTCTCCTTGGTCCCTGGGCAGATAACAGCAGAATGTACACAGAGGAAGGTGCTGTGGGGCCTGGTTGCCTAGCACTTAGTATGTTTTCCCCAGTGGGCAGCATGGAGGAGGGAGGAGCCCAGGGAGACAGGGAAGTGCTGGCCTGTCGTTGAAAGAGGAACATGCAGAGGTCTGGGCACCCACTGCTCTTGGGAACCTTACATTCATTTCACAAATGAGGAATATGAAGTAACTTGCCCCAGAGAGCACATTTAGTGAGTATTGGGGCTATGATTTGAACACAGATCTGATTCCAAAGCAGGCCTCTTTGCTCTCCCTTTCCTTGCTGTGACTAATACAGAGGAGGGAAGAGAGAGCTGTGTGGCAACTGATTTCCTAAGGCTGTGGGGTGACTTTCCCATGGGGATCTCCAAGCATCAGCAGTTGTGGAGCCAGGAAGATGGGAGGGGGCCTTCCGAGCAGTCAGCCTGGAGGCAGCCAGGGAAGGTGTCAGTTTGGCTGTCTCTACCATCACCCTGATTATGAAACTTGCCCGGCCTGAGGCAGGGCTCTCCTGAGTCACATACGCACTCACTCACTCACGGTCAGAGCTGGAGCTCTTAGTTCACCTCCAGTGTGGAAACTGAGGCCTAGGAGAGAAGGAGACTCTATCCCAGGCCACACAGCTGGGCATGGGGATGGTGCTGGAATCCCACTTCCTGACTCCCAGTCTGTGCCCCTATCAACAGACCATGAGTTCTCCTTGTGACTCAGCCAGAGAAAGAAGGAAGGGGATAGGAGCCCAGCAGCAGGGGTGGGGAAGTTTGGAGGAGCCGTTCTAGAGAAGCTGGAGGGAAGAGTTTGACCACACACTCCTGGGCATTTTCCTCTAGCCCCTACAGAAAGGCTATGGATGTCCCCTGAGAGACCTAAAAGTGACACTCTGGTTGGTGAGGTCAGTCCCTTCAGGCCTGACCTTGGAGTTTCCCCATCTTCCTCCCTGGTTTTGCCCCTCTGGAGGAGTATGTGGAAGCCGCCTAGGGAGAGCAGGATCTTGGCTTATATAGTATACTTCTCCTGCCTTAGCTTTCTCATCTGTAAAATGGGGAGAGGTGGGGAGGAGTGGTCTAGCCCTCCTTACCTTCTGAGGTTCTGTGATCTTATCTAGTGGGAGCTCTGGAAGGAGAGAAGGGAGGAACTCAGCCCTCCAAGGCTGCCAGGAGTATCTGTTGGGGTAGGGTTGGGCATAGGGGTGGAATAGGCTGAAGAAGAGAGGTCTGGCCTTTCTGAAGGGAGAGATGAGAAGGGGCAGCTGGTGACTTAGTGCCACCCGACAGAAAGAGAGCCATATATGTAAACGAATGCATACGATATGCAAATGAATGCTTTGTTAAGGAACTGGGGCAGGCGCCTTGTGTGTCTGCTGCGCTAGCCAGGAAGGTTGGCAGGCACTGGAGGAGGGGATCTTCTGCCCCCTGTGCCAGGGCAGAGTCTGGATCTTCCCCCAGAAGCCCCAGCTGCCTGGGCAGCCCTGCAGGGTGAGAGAAGCAGTGAGCTCATGGCACAGCTGGAGGGGGGAGGGCATTGTGTGGTAAGAACTGACTGGGTCTGTGCCCTTTCCAGCTAGGGCCACTGGCTCCATTGTCTGGCCCAGGTGACACAGCTTAGCCAACTAGCCCTTCTGAGCAAGACTGCCAGCTCCCCTCAAGCAAAGGAGGGGACATGTAGTCTCAGAATCCCCCAGCCAGAAGGCTCCCCTGACCAGGAGGAAGGAATGGTAGACATGGAGGTAGGTGAATGGCAGGGACAGATCAAGGTTCAGTTGGAACCAAGGACTGGTTAGGTCAGGAATCAGATGTACTCCTTTCTGCCTTCAGGTGCTCTGCTTCTAGTCTGCTAGAAATGGGATACATCTGGGTGCCAAGGCAATCCTGGGCCCATACCACCTAATCGAGACCCAGGTGTCTTATATCCCAGCATCCGTTTGCTGTTCTCAGAACAGGGTCCAAGCTGTGGACCAACTTTCCCAGGTCTCCTTTCCTTTTCTAGGCAGAAGTCAAGAATGGTGCTTGTGCCAGAGGGCATAGAATGGGGAACCAGGTATCTCCAACTCCTTTTGCCTTTCCCTACAGGAATGGGATGCTGGGCCCGGGAGGTGCTGGTCCCTGAGGGGCCCTTGTACCGCGTGGCTGGAACAGCTGTCTCCATCTCCTGCAATGTGACTGAATATGAGGGCCCTGCCCAGCAGAACTTTGAGTGGTTCCTGTACAGGCCTGAGGCCCCGGATACTCCTCTCAGTATTGTCAGTACGAAGGATGCCCAGTTCTCCTACGCGATCTTCAAGCCCCGAGTGCTGGCGGGTGAGGTGCAGGTGCAGCGCCTACAAGGGGACGCCTCGGTGCTCAAGATTGCCCGCCTGCAGGCCCAGGATGCTGGCATTTATGAGTGCCACACCCCCTCCACTGATACCCGCTACCTGGGCAGCTACAGCAGCAAGGTGGAGCTGAGAGGTACTAGGCCCTGGAATGGGGTGGGGCCACATACCATCTCAAGGCAGGAGGGACACAAGTGACCTATCTAACTGCCCCTTAGGTTTTATAGCCAAGGAACTCTCTGCCCAAAGAGGTTAAGTGACTTGTGCAAAGTCACCCAATAACTCAGTGGCTGGTGTGGGACACAAACCCAGATTTCATCACTCTAGGCCAGTGCTCTTCTGATCATATCAAGCCCCCTTCTGGAAGAAGAGCTATCCAGTCCCCTTTCCATTCCCAAGAATGAGGAAGACAGATGGGGTGAATAGACTCTACTCCTGGACAGTACAGGACCCAGATCTGGGAGAGAGCGTAGTTAGGGAAGGAGTTAGACCATGTGACATTCTCACTCTCTTAAGTTTCTTTGTCTCCTGAAGAAGGAAGACAAAGCCACTTTTCTTGGTATTTCAAACAGGGGTCAGTCTTGAACGTAAGGTGAGTAGGCGATGGGCTGGTTCTTTGAAATTCAGCAAGTATTTATTGAGCGCCTGTGATATGCCCAGCACTAAGCTTGGCACCACTGAGTTACAGAAGAAATAATACAACATGCGATCTTTGCCCTCTGGGAGCTCACAGTCTATTTAGGGTGATAGGCCATACACAGGAAACAGTAACAAGGGCTGCCAGCCCCAGCCCTCCCTCACTCCAGCTGTTCTCTCCAGTTCTTCCAGATGTCCTACAGGTGTCTGCTGCCCCCCCAGGACCCCGAGGCCGCCAGGCCCCAACCTCACCCCCACGCCTGACGGTGCATGAGGGGCAGGAGCTGGCACTGGGCTGCCTAGCGAGGACAAGCACACAGAAGCACACACACCTGGCAGTGTCCTTTGGGCGATCTGTGCCTGAGGTGCCAGTTGGGCGAGCAACTCTGCAGGAAGTGGTGGGAATCCGGTCAGACTTGGCCGTGGAGGCCGGAGCTCCCTATGCTGAGCGACTGGCTGCAGGGGAGCTTCGTCTGGGTAAGGAAGGGAGTGATCGGTACCGCATGGTAGTAGGAGGTGCCCAGGCAGGGGACGCAGGCACCTACCACTGCACTGCCGCTGAGTGGATTCAGGATCCTGATGGCAGCTGGGCCCAGATCGCAGAGAAAAGGACTGTCCTGGCCCACGTGGACGTGCAGACGCTGTGTAAGTGCCACATCCCACTGTGGGAGCTGGGAGGGACAGTATTCTGGTGGGCACTGTGGCCACAGGGGGTACCGGATAGCCGTCATCTGACCCCAGGGAACTCATCTTCTAGAGTGATCAGCCCTGTTAGCATTGCTTCCCGCTCTGCCCTGGATGAGTTTTCTCTGCTCAGTGATGGGTTATAGAGTTAGGAGGGCCATGGCTGAGGGGTGAGATTCAAGCCCCCGAGTAGAAAGATGGTCATACCCAATGAGGGGCAGACAGGAGGCTTTGAAGCTGCTGCTGTCAAGGAGAAAACACAAAGTTGGGGAATCAGGTGCCTCTTGTCCCCTCCTGCCTCTGTGACACCTCTTCCCCTTCCTGTGTTTCAGCCAGCCAGCTGGCAGTGACAGTGGGACCTGGCGAACGTCGGATCGGCCCAGGGGAGCCCTTGGAACTGCTGTGCAATGTGTCAGGGGCACTCCCCCCCGCAGGCCGTCATGCTGCATACTCTGTGGGTTGGGAGATGGCACCTGCGGGGGCACCGGGGCCTGGCCGCTTGGTAGCCCAGCTAGACACAGAGGGTGTGGGCAGCCTGGGCCCTGGCTATGAGGGCCGACACATCGCCATGGAGAAGGTGGCATCCAGAACATACCGGCTGCGGCTAGAGGCTGCCAGGCCTGGTGATGCGGGCACCTACCGCTGCCTCGCCAAAGCCTATGTTCGCGGGTCTGGGACCCGGCTTCGTGAAGCAGCCAGTGCCCGTTCCCGGCCTCTCCCTGTGCACGTGCGGGAGGAAGGTGAGACGGGGCTGGGCCCTGGACAGGGTTCAAGGATTGTAGACCCATTTTCCTTCTGTTTCCACATCCCCTCCCTTCTATCAGCTGCTTGCATGCCGCACCTCATGCTCCTCTTCTACCAATATTGTAGGAATACCCTGAGTTTCCTGGGGCGGTGCTTGGCAGCAGCCCTCACCCCATGCTCCCCGGCCCTGCCCCATCTGGCCCCATGTCCTGTGTTCTGCAGGTGTGGTGCTAGAGGCTGTGGCGTGGCTAGCAGGAGGCACAGTGTACCGGGGGGAGACTGCCTCCCTGCTGTGCAACATCTCTGTGCGGGGTGGACCCCCAGGACTGCGGCTGGCTGCCAGCTGGTGGGTGGAGCGATCAGAGGATGGAGAGCTCAGCTCTGTCCCTGCCCAGCTGGTGGGTGGTGTGGGCCAGGATGGTGTGGCAGAGCTGGGAGTCCGGCCCGGAGGAGGCCCTGTCAGCGTGGAGCTGGTGGGGCCCCGAAGCCATCGGCTGAGACTACACAGCTTGGGGCCTGAGGATGAAGGTGTGTACCACTGCGCCCCCAGCGCCTGGGTGCAGCATGCCGACTACAGCTGGTACCAAGCGGGCAGTGCCCGCTCAGGGCCTGTCACAGTCTACCCCTACATGCATGGTAAGTGGCACCCCTCTACCCTCCTCACTCTGCCTCCCTCCTGGCCCCTGCCCCTAGTCTTCCCTGCCCATCTTCTGACCCTCCTGCCACTGTCTTTTTCCTCCACATCATGTCACATGAAGTCTCAACATATCCATCTTCGAGCCCTGCAGTGCCCACCTGTGTAGGGTCCTCTGTGGTTGCTGCTGACTTTCATGCTGAGGGACAGGCTGTGGGCAGGGATAGGGGTGTCTGTGAATGGAGGAGGTGGGGCCAGAGAACTTGATGGGGAAAGTTCTGGAGGCATGTGGGATGGGTGGAGGATGATGGCATCCTTTTGAACAGTCATCTTCTCTCCCCCAGCCCTGGACACCCTATTTGTGCCTCTGCTGGTGGGTACAGCGGTGGCCCTGGTCACTGGTGCCACTGTCCTCGGTACCATCACTTGCTGCTTCATGAAGAGGCTTCGAAAACGGTGATCTCTCACTCCCCAGGTGAGGGAAAAGAACCCCCCGACCTTGTCTCCATTGGGCTTCCACCCCCAAGTCCTGAACCAGGCTGCTCCCTCCCAGGTCACACCTGGAGGAGGAGTAGGCAGCTCAGATCCATAGGGCTCTGTTAAGGGGCGGGAGCCAGGAGGGAGCCCCCCTTCACTCAGGGCTCTGTGTCCTTAGCCCACGCCGGGCGCCCTTTTCAGGTCTTGCAGGTATCGACTGTCTTCCAGCCCAGCTCCAAGCCCTCCTCTGGTTGCCTGGACACCCTCTCCCTGTTTCCATTCTTCCTTTAATTTATTTGACCTCCCCCTACCCAGAATGGGAGACACGGCTCCCCTTCCTCACTCCTTCCCTCCCAAGCCCTCCCTCTGGCCTTCTGTTCTTGATCTCATAGGCATCCTATAGGGAGACCATTCCCTGTCCTGGAATTAGTTTTTCTAAAATGTGAATAAACTTGTTTTATAAAAAGTAGGCTTGACTGTGTCTTCCCTACCCTGAGACTGTAAAAGGCACGGGGTGTGTAGCAGGGAGGTGGTTGGGGGTTGACAACCTATTCTGAATGACCCAGGCCTCTCTTCCCACCACAAACGCCATCTGGCCTCCGTGGGCCATGCCACCCACCCCAGGAGGGGACACCTGGGTTCCATCTGCTGCCTGAACTGTCAGTGCTGCGGCAGTGCCTGATTGGACTCCTGCGTGGGGAGGGAAGCATAGAGGGCAGGTTCCAGCTGCCTGTGGTCCCCCTCCCCAGCTTCTCCCATGTTATAGGGTATGGGCTTCCAGGAGCAGGGACTTTTCTGAGCTCCCCAGACTTCACCCTACTCTTCCCCTTTCATTCTCCCGGTCAGGCTAGTCTTGGACCTGACTTCTCCCAATAGGTCTCATTCTCCTTGGACCTGACTCCTCCCACTAGGCTCTGGGGCTGCAATTCTTGTTCCTTCTGACTGACAGCAGCAGAACAGAAGCCTCAGCACACAGCTGATACTCAGGCTGGGACAACAGGCAGTCATGGGAGGGCCTGTGTGTCCCCAGGGCCATTGCACCCGTATCTACTCACTGTGCCTGTATACACCCACTGCCCGCATACACCCACTGCCCGCATACACCCGCTACACCCGCATATACTTGCCTTACCTGCCTGTACACACCCTGGGGTTTCCTCCCTCCCCACCTTCAGCTTCACCTCTCCTCCAGTGCCCCAGAAGTTTCATGAATTTTCTTGCCTAAGGATTCTCTGATCCTAAAATTCTTACCTGCACAGCACCTTAAGAGGCATCCAGTAGGCCTCCTTCAGTTGTTATTTAAACATTTATTGAGCATTACGAGTTTGCTAAGTGTCATTTTTACAGATGAGGAAACTGAGGCCCAGAGATGTGATTTGCCCAGAGTCATAGAGCTAATTAGCGACAGTGTCAGGACTGGGACCTAGGTCTCCTGACTTGTCACACTATACAGTGGTGCCCTGAGTGGTGACAGTGGCAAGGAGAGGTATGGCAGGGTCTCTGTGACTTCAGGGGGCAGGAGGGGCCTTTCCAGCCTCAGTTTCTTTGCTTGTCCAAGTGCAATGGGTTGGCTCCTGTGGATACAAAATAGCCCACCCTATCTTGTCCAGACTCCCCTGTTTCACTGAAACCCAAATGAATCCCATTCCCCACCCCAACATCTGTTCTTAGGGGACCAGCTGATGCAGGGTTCAGGAATCTCATCTTTGATGATGGGACCCCAGTGGCCCTGTGACCTGAGGCAAAGATGTCCATGCTTTGACTTGAAAGGAAGAGACTGGGACTTGGGTCCTTTCTGAGTTCACCCAAGCTGCCTAGGCTCCTTCCTTGGCCCCCTTTCTTGCTTCCAGAGGACCCACAGGACCCTGGCTGTGTCCCATAGGACCCCAGCTGTGCCTCATAGGACCCTGGCTGCCCAACCTGGAACAGTGGACTGGAGTGCTTTCCCGAGGGGGCTTAGACTTATGAAAGGGCAGGAGTGGAGTGTGGTCAGGGCTCAGGGAGGAGGTCCTTTCTGGGCCAGTGCTGCTGTGTGGGAGGCGGGGCTGTCCCAGGGTGGGCTCTCCTCGGCCTATGCTTTTCTTCGGGGCACCAGCTTCAGGTCCCCTCTGCCCCTCTCATCTTGCCATTGTTCTCCCTCACCATCCAGGAAGCTGTGCTGGTGACTGGGATGCGACCAGGAAGCAGGTGCAGGTGGGGTGAGAATATGCATCTTTGGGACCCCGTGGCTCAGCTGGGCTGACAGCAGGCTGCAGACGCCTCCACATGCTCCGACTCCTATCGCTTCTCTCAGATTTTCTTCCACATTCAATCCTGCCTTTAGTCCTACAAGGGATTCTGTCCTGTGCCCCGAAAACCCTTCCTGCTCCACCTTCCCACCGACCTCCCCAGGAATCCCCTCAAGTCCTGCTGATGGCTTCATCTCTCTGTCTGGCCTGCTCAGCTTCCAGACACCTCCTCTACTTGTCACTGCCCTGTTTCCACTGATGGCTGAGTTCCTGGGCCCAAAGTTAAACTCTTCAGCCTGGACTTAGGGTCTCTTTCCCACATATAAAACCCCACCCTTCACATGTCTGTCTGCTCCTGTGAGGATCCTCAGCTTCTTCTTGGCTTCTCTTCAGCTTCTTCTCATCTACTCCTCAGCTTCTATGCCCCATCTCCTGCTATGACCTCCAAGTCTTTGCTTAGAGCCCAGGTTCTCCAAGTGTGGTCCCCAGTCCAGCAGCAGCAGCAGCATGAGCTGGGGACTTCTTAGAAATGAAAATTTTTGGTCCCCACCTATTGAGTCAGAAACCCTGGGAGTGGAGTCCAAAAACTGGTGTCTTAACAAGCCCTCCAGGTGACTCGGATGCACCCTGAAGATTTCTAACTGCCGACTTACATATTCCCTATGACTTACGCTGGCCCCAGCCTTCTGATCACCCACACTCACCCACACTCTCCCACCTTCTGCGTGACTGCACAGGTGGTCAGTTTGAATTATTCCTTGTTCAGTTGCCACTGGTAAATTCCTCTGTTTTCCCAGGTGCCCCTTATTTTGAGGACAGGAACCAGGTTTTTGAATGTCCACCCCACATAACACCCAGTGATGTGAATGACTGTGCCCCAGAACCAAACTCCTTTCCCAGGGGCTCCCTGCATCCCAGCTCTGGTGAACCCACTTTCTAGATCTCTCTCCTGGCCCTTCCTCCTCAGAACCTCTCTCTCTCTTCCTGCCTACGCGGGATACCTGTAAGATCTCACTCCACTGTCAGAATATAGCCACCCCTGGTTTTTCTTTCCCAGGCCTTTCTCCAGGGCCCCAGCTCAGGCATCTAACCCCTCTGCCTGCTTCCCTGAACTTGAGGACTAAGGTCACTCACGCCTTGCTGAGCCCCCTTGCAACCCTTCATCCTGGTGAGGGTGGAGCTGGGAGGGCACCCTCCTCATGTGGCCATCTTGGCCCAGCTCCTTTCTCCTTCGCTTTAGCTTGGCCTACAATGTCGTTAGACAGTTGTGCCATGTGTGGGGAGGCTGGCAGAAGAGGTGAGCAGGGACTGCAATCCATCCTACTCTCTGCTCCCCAGGCCATGCACCCTGGTTTGGGGCTGTATCTGTCTGGAGGAAAAGGGTGCCTTTTTAGAATTTGCACAGAGGTGTTCTACGAGTTAGTGGCAGCCCTGAGTGGACCAACTGTCTATTGGTCCATGTATGTATCTATCAGCTGTCTTTATCCGCCACCATCTTCCCATCCAACCCCCAAAAGTCCATCCTTCTGTCCATCCATCCACTCATGAACAAATGTGTAGGTCAAACACAGACTGGTAAGTTCACCTGGCCCCACCCTCCATTTCCCTGAAATCAGGACCCCTCCCTTCCATACTAGATCCTAGACTTGAGGTTCTGGGGGGCAGGGACTTTCCAACTTTAGCACATTTCCAGGGGCTTTGCCTACCTCCTCCTTCTCCTCCACCTTCGAGATGCAGTTCCCCATGTACCTGTGTCTGGCCCCTGGGCTGCCACAGTGGTTCAGAGGAAGCTGGTCACACCTTGGACTCAGTCTCTGGGGGTGGCAGGCAGCCATTCTGCTCCTTGTCATCCCCAGCCTCCCCCCCTGCCCCCTCCCCTGCCCCTTCCTCCTCCACCTTCTCATCCAGGCGGCTGGGGATGGACCAGTAGAGATGGGCATCAAGGCGGGCCGCAGCCTCTGCCAGCTCTCGAGCACTGCACGAAGGTGTGGGCACCTCAAAGGTCTCGTGAAAGCTGGCATAGTCCACCTCATAGAAGCCGTCCTCCAGGGTCAGCACTGACGTGAAGCGGTGGCCCCACAGCACCTCGTCTACCAGGTAGGAGCTCCGAGCTTGGCATGTCATTCCTGAGGGGAGGGGCACGGGTCAGGGGGGGATCCCGGCTCCACACTTCACTTTCCTGCCTCTCATTCCACAACCCTGCTCCCAGCACCCTCCCTTCTATTCCTCCCTTAAGGGCTCCCACTTCCTTTTGGTCCGGTCCATTTTCTCCCCCTTCCTAGCTCCTGTTCTTACCCAGCTCCCTCGCCTCTTCTCCATTTGCCCCAACTCCTCTTAATCTCCAGCTCTTTTATCCCCTCCTGTCATTTGGTGATGCCAATCAAAAAAGCTTAATCTTAGGGATCATCTAGTTCAACTTCTCACTCCATACAGGAGCATTTCCAATAGTGGGCACCTAGCTTGTACTTGACTGCCTCCCAGGACTGACAGCTCAGAAAGGGTGCACCCCTTTGTGTGATAGCTCTTATAGCTGGGTTGTTCTTTATACAGAGCTAAAACCTGTCCCCTGGGATTTCCACCCCTTGGCTTCATTCCCCTCCCACTTTACAGTCCTTTGAATATCTGAAAACAGGAGTCTCAGGTTCCCTCAAGTTTTCTCTTCTTGACTTAACATCCCTGGCTTCCTCTACGATTTCTCATTTGAACTGGTTTTCCAAAATTCTACCTTTTTGATTACAAGCCAGAATGGCCAAGGAGGGCCCTGAAGCATTTTGAGTGCAGTAAATTTTCCAACTGTGGCCTGCTCCATGCATAAGAGAGGGCGCACCATCTCTCTGTTCTGGCCTTGATGTGTTCACAAACAGGGCCCAGGATAACATTACATAATCATTTTGGAGGCTGCATCACATTGCGACGACATCAAGCCTGTAGCCAACTAAAACACCCAGTTCTTTTTTCACCCGTGCTCTTCCATGCTGTGCTTACATAAGTGATTTTTTTTTAAAGCCTAAATGTAGAATTTTATATTTATTCCTTTTAAATGTCATCTTGTTGGGTTTTGGCTCATTATTCTTGCTTTTCAAAAGCGTTTTGAATCCTGACTGTCTCACCCAAAATATTACCATCCTTTCCAGCTTTATCTCTCCAGAAAAACAGACAGATTCCCATTCCTATCTCCTCTGTCCTGGGCCTCCCTGCCCCGGGCCTGTGTCCTGTCTTCTTGTTGGGTTGGTGCATCCCTCAGGGAGGGTCATTGTCCTCCTGCCACAGGGTCTTTCCCCCAACCCGCATCCATCTCGGAACAAGGGGAAACAGAAGATTGGACATCAGCTAACCAGAGGGTGGCTGTCAGCTCGCAAAGCCTGGCCCTGAGATATTGTTATTCTTCGGTCAGGCTGGAACAGGAAGTATGCAGTGGGAGAGAGGAAAAAGAGGCATAGGGACACTGGGGAGAGAAGGGCTTCGAGGAGGAGAGGGCAGGGCTGGGGGTATAAAGAGAAAAGACAGCCGGACAGGAGCTTCCCTGGAGGGTGAGGGGCCTGTCTGAGATACCGGCTAAAAAGGAGTGACAGCTGGAGAGAGAGAGAGGAAAGGGAACGGGGTGAGTGGGGGAAGGGGAAAGAGTCGGAGTGAAGCAGGAATGCGGAACAGTGAGGGGGAGCTGGGGTTGGGATGTGAAGCGGAGGGCCAGTGCAAAGGGGCCAGGGAAAGGTTCTGAAGGCACCAGCTTGTCCGCGAAGCCGGTAGGGAGCATCAGCAGCTCTGGCGTCAGTGGCAGGGACTGCGGCGCCCCCTAGTGGGCCTTTGGTTCTCCACCCGCAGTTTCCTCGCCCTCATCCATCCTCTAGTTCTCAAGTCCTAAGTAACCTCATTTGCAACTCCTATAACACTGGTCTTTTTCCACTTGCTCCCAAAGCCTTCACTGTGTAGATCTGGGTTGGACTTACATCACAGACGAGTTGCCAGTTCCTTTTGGAAAAGGGCTAGAAATGGTAACATCGTCTATGTCCCTTGTCAATGGAAATGGATGAACTGGGAAACTGAGGCAGAAGCGAGACCAGATATTAAGCTCCCCTCAAGCGCCAGCCTAGAAATAACTCAGGCAGTGGAAAATCTTCACCGTGAAATTCCAGGGGCCTGAACCTGGCTGCAGTGAGAAAACTCCTGAACCTAACCCCTCCTTCCAACTCGGGACGTCTAAACATTGAAGCCACATTGCCTGTGTCCAATCCAGGCATGGCCACTTGCTGGCTTAGAAAAGTGGACAATTTCCTTAACTTCTCATTGGAGCAAAATCTCGTCTCTGAAAAGTGAGCGCAGTAAGGAGAAGTTACCTTCAGAGGGTTCTTGTGAGGATTACGTGAACTCAGAGGTGGAAAGTGCTTTGGAACTGCGCATGACACAGGGTGAGTACTGGGCGAGCGCTAGCTATTATTACTCTCTCTATTCCAAGTGACACATTCCTCTGGGCCCAGGGCCCCACGCCAGTGCCATTTCGGAGAATTCCTCCAAGCTTTCTCTTGGCCTTCTGCAGAGTTGCTCGGTTCCACCCCCACCCCCGACGCCAGTCTCACCTCACTCTCTCATCCTCCACTAGCCCTTCCATCCATCCTCCCCACCTCCCCTGGCTCCTCTTCTCGCCCCTGCCTTCCTCCGTCCTGCCCACCCCCAGCCAGCCCCGCTCCCTTCTCCAGACCCGCTCGCACCCGTGGCTTCCACCATGCCCTCGAGGATGACGACGATCTCGAAGTCGTCCCTCTCGAGAGCGCGGCGCGACGCCTCCCAGAAGGGGCTGGCGGCGTCGATCTCGTGGCTGATGACGAGCGGCGAGACGAGGAAGAGGCGGTCGTCACCCGTGTCGAAGCCCACGCTGAGGTCGGTCTGGTGCAGCGGGATGAACTCGCCCTCCAGCGTCTGGCGCGAGCGGATGAGCTTGGCGCGGATGGAGGCCTCCACGATGTGCGAGGAGCGCAGGTCGCCCACGCGGAACATGAGGCAGAGGCGCCCGTCGCGCAGCGACACCACGGCGTGCGAGGAGAAGACCAGCGTGGCGGCGCGCTTGTTGGGCTGCGAGATCTTGACGAACATGCAGCCCACCATGAAGGCGTTCACCATGGAGCCCAGGATGGCCTGCAGCAGCAGCAGCACGATGCCCTCGGGGCACTGGTCGGTGATGACGCGGTGCCCGTAGCCGATGGTGGTCTCCGTCTCGATGGAGAAGAGGAAGGCGGCCACGAAGCCGTTGAGGTTGTTGACGCACGGCGTCCACGCGGTGTCCTCCAGGTGCTCCAGGTCGCCGCGGCCGTAGGCGATCAGCCACCAGATGGCGCCGAAGAAGAGCCAGGTGAGCGCGTAGGCCAGCACGAAGAACAGCAGGCTGAGGCGCCACTGCAGGTCCACCAGCGTGGTGAACAGGTCGGTCAGGTAGCGGTAGGTCTCGCGCACGTTGCCCTGCTGCACGTTGCACCGGCCGTCCTTCTCCACGTAGCGCTGGCGGCCGCGGCGCCGCGGCGGCTCCTCCGACCCGGGCGAGAAGGCCGCGTTCTCCTGCGCCATGGCGGCCGCGTCAGGGCGAGCGGGGCGGGCGCCTGGAGAGCGGCGCCCGGGACCCGGGCAGCCGCCACCCGCCGCGCGTCGCGGGGCGCCTCGGCGGCGTCGGGGGTCCTGGAGGGGCTTAATAAAGGTTTGCAGAATGAGCGGCCCCGCGGGAGATGGGGAGGCGCGGGACACCCAGCCCTGGGGGGCCCTGGGCGAGTCCCTTCGTGTCTCCTGGCCTCTCTTTCTGGGAATAACACATTCAGCCCTAACTGCCCCCTAGGCTCAGAAAGTTGTGAGGCTCAGACGGAATAATGCACCTGAACTGGATAGGACTGTGCGAGTTCCACACGGTTTTCATTTTCATGTGGAACTCGCTCAGCCCTATCCAGTTCAGGTACATTATTTCATGTAGGAAGGAGGTACCAGAGATCTTGGTGCCATCACCTCCAGCTGGGGTGTGCAGCACCTCACTGGCAGCCCCGGGGCCAAAGACCCGGGCCCAGATCCCTTTAGTGATTTCCTGAAATCACTAGACTGGGGGCTTTTTGGGGAGGGGGGCAGGTGGGTAAAGCTCTTCTACTGCGTAAACCCCTCCCTGCCCTAAGCACTTCCACCAGCCCTTCCCCAGCTGTTGCCCGTGCAGCCACCAACGGCTCTCCGCACAGGCTGTTTTGAAGTTCACCCCAAGACTGACACACAGTCTCTCCCATTCTTCCCTCCTCGGACCTCATTCACTCCACCCCCTCCCCTCAATGCACTTTCAAGGGAGAAAGAAATGAAAGCTGTGGAAAGTCAGTGGAAACCCTCCAGTGCACAACGGAGGAACCTGAGGAAATTCCCACTAGAGATCCTCCCCGAGGCCTACCCACGATCACTGCTGCTCTTGGGCCAGCCCCATTTCCCTTGGATTTTTTTTCCCCAGCCTGCAAATGGGGAGGGGAACTGGAAGATACAGATCAACACAGACCTGGGGAAAAGGAAGCCCAGAGTTCATCAAGAGTTAGGCTTCTTTCCCTCCGGGATTCTATTCTTCACTAGACACATGGAATCAGATCGAGAGAAGCACTAAGCACCCACATTTATTTCCCGACTCCCTCTAGTTATTTTTCCTCCAGACTCTTACTCCCCATGGACTATCCTAACACCAGCCCCGCCCCCACCTGCCATATGTCTCAAAGCCCACATTCCAAGCAAAGCCCACCTGATTTTGCTTCACATTCTTCCCTCTGAGGAGCTCTCTGAGCTGCAGTCTGCTCTGAGAGAGGTCCAGAGTGCTTCCCAAAGCACCCAGGGCCCTCTGGGAGATATGGACCACACAGGGAAAGGTCTAGAATAAGGATTTGGGACTCTTCCACCTTCCCTTCTCTTTCCTGGGAATTATCCTCTCCTCCCACTCCATGAAAACGTGGGCTGGCTAGTGGATGGGGGATGGAGGAGTGTGACATAGGAACCACAGATGGCCTGGATGTTTGACCAGGTCCTGGGGAGAAATTGCCTGGATATGTGACTGTAAACCTAGCACTCCAGCATTTTATGTTCTGGGGTGAGGTGCTCTGCAGTCAGCACTCTGGAGACGGGGTGTTTGTGTGCGTGTGTGTGTGTGTGTGTGTGTGTATTGGGATAGAGAGAGCAGGAAGAGAAATCAAAATGAAATGGCTTTGAGCTTAGGGGTACCCTCTGCATAAACTTTCCATGGAGTCAGGGGATTCAGGGTCCCATGGCAATGGCAGATTAGGGATTCCCCTGCCCCCAACAATGCGCTTCCTTTTTCTTCCCCAATCTCAGGATGTCCTCAAGAAGTGTAAGCACTGACTAGCTCAGAGATTCCAGGTCATGCAGAAAACGACCCTGCTCTCATTCATCCTAGCCTTAGTCCCAGGTGGGCTTCCAGATGTTCTCTCAGGGTTTTAGTAATCTGAACCCCAGTCAGCCTGCTTAGACAGATCTCTCTGCCCAAGGATGGGGAAGGGACCCCAATGTCTGATCACCCCCAGAACTCTCTCACTCTCCATTGCCCCAGGGATCTAGGTAAACCTTATTTTGGTTTCCTCAGTGGGGGACTGCATTTTTCTCAGGGGAAGGAAAAGTGTGAAATGGTTACCTCTATCCCAAGATCTCCCAAGATCAATGACTTGATTTCTGCATCTTCCCTCCAAGAATTTCAGTTCCTCCAACCTACTCCTCCTCATTTCTTGTGCATGCAATGACCCCTTTGCAGAAGATTGCAGTACCACTTTTCCTGGGCCCCTCCTCCTCCCCCTAGAGAACTGGGGAGTAAGGGGGCTCATTTTTTGGAAGGAGAGACCTGGTCAAAACTCCCCCCAAAACCAGCTCCTCCCAAACCCCCACTTGCCTTGGAAATAGGGGCCCAAACCCCAAGTTCCCCGCAACTCAACTCACAGCACGTGGAGAGGAGAGTGGCCGGCAGCAGAAACCCCTGGGGGGTGGCGTCCATGCCCCTGACACCGCCCCCCCCCCACGGGCCCCCTTGAATGGTGGGAGCCGCAGACACCGCTGTTTCTCCTAAATGTAGCGGCAGCTCTGACTAGGACTTGCTATCTGTGTCATCCCTACTTCCCAGGCTCCCCTGCTCCTCTCTCGTTTCCACGGCAACCAGTCTGGCGACAGCTCCAGAGCATCCCCCCTCCCCTCCCCAGTCCTGGGTACCACTAGGGGTTGATCCAAACCACACGCCATAGCTATTTTTAGCCAAAGTCCCTCCTTCTGGACAACTCAGAGCTTGGATCCTCATCCCCTCATAGGAAAAAAAAAAAAAAAAAAAAAAAGAAGAAGAAGAAAGAGAAAGCTGGCACAATGGCTCTTTCCTAAGAAGCTCCTTGCTCAGGGGAAAATACAAGCCCTCATGTATTTGAGAATAAAGTGTTAAGTTCCCTGGGGTTTCAGAGGGCCCTCTGGTAGCTGGCAGCTCACCACCTTCAACAGGGGCCTCCGTGTGCAGGTGCTGCCCTCAGGTCAGGCCCGCCATCACGGTCTCTAGTTTTGGATCTAATCAAGGAAGGGAAGCAGGGTCAGGGCCTCTAATTATTGTCACTGATTTGCATTGTGACCCACAGGAGTCACTTCACTTCCCCCAGCCACAGTTATTCCATCTATACCATGTTGTGGACAAGCACAAATATTCCCTTCCTGCCTGCTTTACAGTGTGTGCAGATCAAATGAGGAAAAAAAAAATCAAAGGGCTTTGAAATGTATTTTGTTCATAACAAAAACCCAAGAAGCAACCCAAATGTCCACCAGAGAGAAAAGCCTCGGTTAGGGCTTACTAACTATTCACTCAGCAAACTGCTACAGAACCCAGGTGCCAGGCAGTGTATTAGATGGGGTGGTTACAGAACGAGTAAGTCCCTGCTCACAAGGAGCTCATTAACCCGTGAGGGAGAAAGACACATAAACACACAGTGGCTACTGCTACTAGTTCATTGAACATCAGATATGAACGGGACACAGGCCTCACTGCCTCCCCATGGCAGCTCTATAAGGTAGGTATTATTTTTCCCAGTTATAGATGAGGAAACTCAAACTAAGACACGTTAAGTGATTTATCAAATGTCACAGAGTTGGACAGAGATAGGAGTCAAACTCCCACATCTGTATCAACTCATGCTTTTTATTTTTATTTTTTTAAAAAGACTTCTTACAGAGTAGTTTTAGATTCAGAGCAAAACTGAGAGGAAAGTTACAGAGATTTTTCGTATGCCCCCTGTGCCCACACATGTAGCCTTTCCCACTGTCGACATCCCCCACCAGAGTGGCACATTGGTGACAAGTGATGAACCTACATGGACATCATAATCACCCAAAGTCCATAGTTGACATGAGGCTTCACTCTTGGTGTTGTACATTCTGTGGGTCTGGACAAATGTGTCATGATGTGTATCCACCATTATAGGATAATACGGAGTAGTCTCACTGTTGTAGAAGTCCTCCATGCTCTGCCTAGTCAATCCGCCTTCCCTAACCCTGGCAACCACTGCACGTTTTCCTGCCTCCATAGATTTCCTTTTCTAGAATGTCACATAGTTGGAATTGTACAATACGTAGCCATTTCAGATTGGCTTCTTTCACTCAGTAATGTACCTTTAAGGTTCTTCCATGTCTTTTCCTGGCTTTGTAGTTCACTTTTTTTTGGCACTGAATAATATTCCACTTCAGGATGGTCATGGTTTATTTATCTATTTACCTACTGAAGGATATCTTGGTTGCTTTCAAGATTCGGCCATGATGAATAAAGCTGCTAGAAACATCCATCAGTGGTTTCCATGTGGACGTGTTTTCATCTTCTTTGGGTAGATACCAAGGAGCATGAATCCTGGATAGTATGGTAAGAGTATGCTTAGTTTTTAAAGAAACGGTCACACTGTCTTCCAAAGTAGCTGTACCATTTTGCATTCCCATCAGCCACGAATTCCTGTTCCTGTTGCTCCACATTCCTGCCAGCATTTGGTGTTATCAGCCTCAGCCTCGTGTTCTTTTCACAAAGTTACACTGCCTCAGTAATGTAATATATGTGGCGTGTTAATATCAGAGGCTACTATAAAGCCAAAATAATTGCTGTGTTTAAATGTGTGAATGTATATATAACACACTGTTACATAAAAAAGCAGAACCTGAAAATATTCTGTAAATTGATCATGATTATGTAGAAGTAGCTTCAGGAACACTGATAAAAATCAGCACAAAATTTGGAAAAATAGAAATATTTTAATGTTCATTTTTTGCCAGGGGAAAAAGAGCAGAGAGTGGTTTACAAATGCAAGGTATTGTTGCTTTTGTTATCAGCATTATTAGATCCCAGACATGGATCTGTTCTTCTCCATATCCTTTAAATTTGGATCAAGAAAATATGAACTAGAGGAGCAGGAAGCCATAGAGATGGACACAGAGGGCTACAGAAGCTCCTGAAATGACCTGGAAAGGTAGGAAAGTGGGTACTGGATAATACAAGCTCAGGAGGCAATGACTTGGGTTCAAAGCCCACCTCTCTCCACTACTAGCTGGGTGAACCTGAGCAATTACTTAACCTCGTTAAACCTCAGATTTTCCATCTAAAAAGGAAGAACCGTATTACTCATCTCTTAGGGGGTTGTCATAAAGACTGCATAAGGCATTGCCTGACACATTGTTAGTACTCAGTGAATGCTAGCTACTATCTTCCTCTTTCTCCTCATTGTCTTCTTCATGGTCATCTTCACTGTCACCATCAGCACCATCATCTCAGGGATGTCCTGAAAGCCTGACCCTACCTGTGCCAACTTCCTCTGTCCTGGCACCACCCTGTGAGGCCTGCAGGGGGCACTCCCGGCATACTGCCCTCTCATCAGCTCACTTGCTGGTGTTTCTTGTTGTTCCAAGTGGAAATATCGAGTTTTCAGCCGGAGATTGGCATCAGGAGTGCTGTTAAAGCCGCAGTCAACACCCCTGTCTCCTGGGCCTGGTCCTGTCACCCGAGCCTTGGGACTGCTAGCCTGCCCTTCTCTGTCCTGCCAAGCAGCTGCTCACGTTGGTTCTACTGTGCCAGGAGCTCGGAGAGAAGAAACCAAACTCCTGGGCAAGAACACATTTGCATAGAGCTGGCCCCATTTGCTGGAGGGGGCATCACTGGCAGGGCCCTCCATGAAGCGATTTCAGACAGCTCCTCACCTCAGCCAGGTGCCCCTGAACCTAACCTTGCTGACAAGGAAGGAGACCATCACTCCCTCACCTGATATGCCGATCCTGCAGTTCCTAGACTTTACCTGTTATCTAACCTCAGCGCCTTATTTATCACTGAGCTTGAGCTGAGGCAAGAGAAAAAAAGTTTTCCTAGGCACCAGGACACAGAAGTATAGACAAAATTCTAGCTTTTGGCCTGGCATGGTGGCTTACACCTATAATCCCAGCACTTTGGGAGGCCGAGGCATGCAGATTGCCTAAACCCAGGAGATGGGGACCAGCCTGGGCAACACGGTGAAACCCTGTCTCTACAAAAAATACAAAAATCAGATGGGTGTAGTGGTAAGTGCATGTGGTCCCAGCCACTCTGGAGGTTGAGACGGGAGGATCACCTGAGCCTGGGAGCTCAAGGCCACAGTGACGCAGTGACCTGTGATTGTACCACTTGCACTCCAGCCTGGGTGACAGAGATCCTGTCTCAAAAAAAAAAAAAAAAAGGAACCGTAGTGCAAAATAGAAAAAGAGCTTAGAAAGAGCCTACTGTGGCACGTCACTTGGAGAACAGGGAACAGGTGATACTTTGGGGAGAAAATAAAAGGTTCCCTTCCTCCAGCAGACAGCTCTGAGCCGAGTGCAGGAACTGGCAAGCTGAATGCAGTTGAGTCCTCCTTGACTTGCCCCATCAGCAGGTGCCTTTGTGGCATCCCTGAGATCAGCCAATCTGGGGAGGATTCCCTGAGCAAGATCATGAGACATCTTATGCAAAGGCTTGCAAGTAGAAGAGGAAGCATGATGGGGAAGATACAAGATGGTTGAGGATGTGAGTTTCGTGGAGCAGGGAGGCCGGTCTGGTTGATTGTAAAAATTTGTATAAGTTCAAGTGGGATGGAGCCCTAGAAAATGCATAGCAGAGGAAAGATACGGCTGAAGGAGCAGATGTGGCAAATGACTGTAGCTGAAGATTAGAGTGAAATGGGGAGAAGCAGTGCACAGCTCCAGGCAGATGGAGCCCAGCTGGGTTCCTGAGGCTGAGGAGCTTGCTGCCTTTCTGGCTACTTTCAGCTGAGCAGGAGTATGAGAAACCTTCTCACAGAGTTCTGTCTTGCTATAGGACTGCGTAGAGATAGGCTAAGATTTAAAAGTTATATGACAATTAGAGGTGGTACAGGATTAGCCTTTACTTTACAGATTGGAATAGGTCCGAAAAAAATAGTCACGACTGAGACTCAGGCCACCCGACTCGAGGTTCCGCATGTTTTATTCCCAGTTGCCTTCCTCCTACCTCCTGCCACAGTGCATTGGATGTTAACGGAATTTCTATCAACTGGACCCAATTGAAAGGTACTAGAAGTACCTAAAGAAATTAGTTTTTTCCTTCTTTTTTTTCTCCTTCTCTCTCTCTCTCCTTCTTTCTTTTTTTTTTTTTTTTTTTTTTTTTTTTTTTTTTTTTTTTTTTTTTTTTTTTTTTTTTTTTTTTCTGCTCTGTTGCCCAGGCTGGAGTGTGATCTCGGGTCACTGCAACCTCCGCTGCCCAGATTTAAGCGATTCTCTTGCCTCAACCTCCCAAATAGCTAGGATTACAAGCACACACCACCATGCCTGGCTAATCTTTTTTTTTTTTTTTTTTTTTGTATTTTTAGTAGAGAGGGGGAGTTCACCATGTTAGCCAGGCTGGTCTCAAACTCCTGATCTCAGGTGCTCCGCTGGCCTCGGTTTCCCAAAGTGTTGGGATTACAGGCATGAGCCACTGTGCCTGGCCGTTTTTTTCTTTTTTAAAGGAAAAAATTATTTTTTTTTTCTTGAGAGAGAGTTTTGCTCTTGTTGCCCAGGCTGTAGTGCAATCATGAAATCTTGGCTCATGGCATCCTCCGCCTCCCAGGTTCAAGTGATTCTCCTGCCTCAGCCTCCCAAGTAACTGGGATTACAGTCATGTGCCACCACGTTCAGCTAATTTTTGTATTTTTAGTAGAGATGGGCTTTCTCCATGTTGGTCAGGCTTGTCTTGAACTCCTGACCTCAGGTGATTGCCTGCCTCAGCCTCCCAAAATGCTGGGATTACAGGTGTGAGCCACCGCGCCCCACCAGGAAAGAATTCTTTAGTAGGTAACTAAGTATTCCCTAACTTATGTCTTATAAATGTGGGTTTGTGTATATTGCATTTATTGTAAGGGGTGATCTGCCTACATAAATGATTCATTAGTGACTAGGGGAACATAGCTCAGTCATTCTCTTGGATTTCTCCCCTGCGGCCTGAGTCACTCAGCTATGAGATGCTCCCCCTACTAATGTCATTTTTTCAGCACTGTGGGATGTGAACACCAAAATGCCACTTGGAATCCTGAATCCTGTGGTGAGCCATGTCAGTGTCTCTGTTCTTTCCAGCCACTTCCCCTGACTTGTTAAATGCTGCCTATTCCGAGTCTCTATCATGCCTTCCAATGCAAAGTTTTCCTGATCCCCTCTCCACACCTGCTTTTCCCAGCACAAGCACCTCGTACTGCTCTCCACCTGTGGATTCTCCTTCTAAAACAGGCTCTGCACCCCAACTCTCCTCCTCCTCTGCTCTCCCGAGGTGGTCTTTGTCCCATTACGAGCAAAGTAAAAGTAGAGACGAGGCCAAAGCTGGAACCAGTGAATCCGAAAGGAGAAGTGGAAGAGAATAAGGAAGACGCAAGTTGGTAAACTGAGAGAAGAAAGAGGGGTTCTCAAAAAAAGACGCTTCCGCTGTCACGTTTCTTGGTGGACGCTGGATGTTGTAAGTCTGGGGAATTTTTTATACCAACACGTACTCAGAGGTCGTAGCCTCTGATGGACAGGATTGTGTTTAAGCCATGCAAATTCCCTCTGGAATTATCCTGAGACAAGCTTTGGGGTCAAATATATGTGAATTCAAATCCCAAAACGAACACTTTCCAGCTATGCTACCATAGGCAAACCACTTAACCTCTCAGAACTTCAGTTTCTCCATTTCCTGATTTATCTGACATAGTAAACACAAATAGTAGTGTCCTATGCCCTTTTTACTGATTCCTTATTGGGCTCCTAGAGATTGTTCTAGTACTTCTCTTTTGCAAACAAATTTAAAAATGAAAACCTGCCATTTGATATGTACAAAGAAATATAGATGGTAGATATATGTCTATATGTTATAAAGCAAAATTTAAGAACAACAACTCAATTTAAATCACTCTTCTAAAATTAGAACATGACAGTGCTGTTGAAGGTACCTGTGTACGTTTCCACAAGTTCCCACCCCTGCTGTTCTAGGACTTAGAAAGTCTTCCTAACTGTCCAGTCCCACCCTACTCTATTCTCACTGTGAATGTTAGTAGACGACACTTCCATAGATTACTTGTAATTTTTTAGTCTGATTGACCAGAGAAGTAACACAGAATTAAGGAAGTCATGAGCCCTTCCAGCCTTGGAGAGGAAGGTACCAAGCTCAGTGTGGGGGCCTGTCACGTGAAGTCCCCTTCACCACAAAGTCTCTCTTTCTGTCCCTGCCCTCTGATTCTCTCTTCCCTGCCCTCTCAAAGGAGTACCCTAACTGGGCAGCAGAGTTTGGATTGTGATCTGTTGAGCAAGAGGCACCTGTCTGGGGTTTTAAAACAAGGGCACAGGGACTGACATGATGAAAACAGTTGCCTCTTCCTTTGA